AAAAAAAAAAAAAAAAAAAAAAAAAAAAAAAAAAAAAAAAAAAAAAAAAGCAAAATGTAATTAACAAATATCAATGTCAACGTGTCAATGCATGGGCTATTTGTCATTATTTTACTTTTTTTATTTTTATATTTATAAATTATTCATTTATTTTAAGGTTACTAACTTTTTTTAATTTGTAATTAAATGTAGATTAAATTTAAATTAAGAGGAGCGTTATTTTATTATTATTAATATTATTGAAATGCATTGGTTCACAATTTGCAACTTTATTTGGAGAATAATGTATTATTTGGTATTTTCTCTTTTAAATGATGCGATTTGGACTAATCCCTTCAACCACCATATGATGCATTGTTGGACTATACCCTTCAACTACTACCCATCACATTTTCTTTCTTTTAGAGAAGCGACCTATACAAATAGAACATGATATATACTCGGGTGTACTAAGATTCTTGTGGTTTCAGGAGAATTCAGCTACATTAGAACTTTCTTGTGGTTTCAGGAGAATTCAGCTACATTAGAACTAGGAAAGAAAGACTTTCAGGAGAATTCAACCAAATCGCGTTATCTATTGCTTTGCTTTGAACAGTCAATCACTACTTCAATTACGATCCTGGTTTCCTATATAGAACGAACCTACAATAGAAGCTATATTGTTTTATACCTTTGTTCTTTATAATTTAATGTATATAAAAACTTCTAAAAATGAGGGTGAGTTTTGAGCATGTGTCCAATTAAGTTGTTTCTCCCACATCGAGAAGAATCTCAATTTTAATCTTTTTTATTAAGGCAATTGGCACATGGACTAATCGCCGGGCTTGGTTACGCAAGCTTATGACCTAAGCTTATGACCTAAGTAGGGGCATTAGAATGGTTGGACAGTTCCCAACTCCACTGGGCTGGGATCGAAGTGGGCTTATGTCAGGCCCGCCCGTTTCAAGCAGGGAGCTAAGCCATGGGGTCTGAATGGAAGGCTCATGGCTTCAGTGGCTTCTAAAGTGGAGGGCAAAGCGTGAGGCTGGCTTCACAGAACAGTGAAAACCTCCTTCTCTTTGTAATGGAAGGAAAACGGGCCGAATGCCTCTTCGATACCACCATATGGCCGAGTGCTGTAGGGCTTAACCGGACTATCATTTTTTTTTTTTTTACATTTAAAACGAATAATATTTTGGATTGAGTTGTTCGGGTCATCAAATTTCTTGAACACCCCTACAAATCATTGTTAAATCAGGCACCTTAAGGATTAGGGTTCTTATAGCTTCTTGATTAAAATCACATTCTCTTAGGTCATACGCCCCACATTATTTTAAACGTAATCATTCCAATTTATAGTATATATACATGCATCTTCAATCGAGACAACTCATTATTAGAGATTAGTTGGCAACTCTCCAATAACCCCTCATATCATATAATCGAGAGGGAGCGACACTCGTGCTTACCAACTATTAAGATTATATGCAGACCTTTATCAATTGAGACAGGTTCACTCTTGAAGAATAGTTGGAGACTACATAACCATCTTCACATAACAATATAATGGCAGTGCATATCATAGCATCCAAGTCTCGACTTAGTATCTATCAACTCATGTGATACAAATATGGACCATCTCATCTAAGACAAGTTGTAGCTAAAAATTAACGAATCTATGATAACCCCCGCATTATATAATCAAAGGGGAGTGACCCCATTTGGCGTACTACTAAGATACCAAGAGAACCATTGTAAAACAAGACAAGCCCCACTTAGTAACTTGATAACGGAGACTCATAAATACCATAGTAAATTGCATAACTAATCCATCAATCCAGCTTTTAATTTTCTTAATTTATATGATACTCTTCAATCAATCGTATTTGAGCATTTTTACAAGTTTTCATTCACTTAACATGCATAACAATCAATAGTATTTTTTTTGTTTTTGTAGCCAATCCTAAAACAACAGGCTACCATAGATATTGAGTAGAGGATTAATATTATTTTCTTAGTTAAAATACTATATTAGAAACATTTTGAAAGTGTCCATATCTATCCTTGTATGACTCTTTTATTTTAGTTTTTGTACTTTGAAAGCGTCAAAATTTCGTATCTTGAAACCAAACCATGGTGGCAAATGCAGTAGAAGTCGAAGCTTCATACTCTCGTTGCTCAAAACCATCAACAAAGGCAGTAGAAACTAAGGCTTTGATTGTCGAAGAGTGGTAGCTAGAAATAAAGAAGGATGATGGTGAGAACAGATCACCGTTGAAAAAGGTGGAACGAGCTAAAATTTAAATAGTTTGAAAGTATAAAGATTAAAAATAAAACCTAATCAAAATACAACCAAAAAGCTTCAAGAATACTCAAATTTAAACAACAAAAAAGACATAAGACACGTCATGGCACACAAGAAAGAGTGATGTGAACTAAACCATTTTAATGTCAAACGTACCCAAACTCAACTCGACTGGATTCGATCCGACTTCTTTTGTAGTTCTCTATCATTCCACGATTTTCTGCCTTTTTTTTTATAGCTTCCAAATTTTTAAAACTCTTGTCAGTTTTAAATATCCTACCAATTGAAGAAGTCGAAATGTCTTTGTTAGTAATTGTTTTCTTTATCTACTGAAGTGAAGTAAATTTGTGCTTCACAAAGCTATATTGTTTTATACTTATCCTTTCTATCTTTTTAGACTAGTCGGTGTTACAGACAAAAGTACTTTGGTCTTGATTGATTAGTACTAATTATACACATTTTTGTTTTTCTTTAATGAAAAAATTGTTTTGAAATAATGGTAGAAATAGAATTTTTAAAATAAAATGAGTAATAAATAATTTTATGTATATAGGAACTTCCAAAAATGAGGGTGAGTTTTGAGCATGTGTCCAATTAAGTTTGTTTCTCCCACATCGAGAAGAATCTAAATTTTAATCTTGTTTATTAAGGCAATTGGCACATGGACTAATCGCCGAGCTTGGTTACACAAGCTTATGACCTAAGTAGGGGCATTAGAATGATCGGACGGTTCCCTATTCCGTTGGGCTGGGATCGAAATGGGCTTATGTCTGGCCCGCCCGTTTCAAGCAGGGAGCTAGCCATGGGGTCTGAATTAAGGCTCATGGCTTCATTGGCTTCTAAAGTGGAGGGTAAAGCGTGAGGCTGGCTTCACAGAACAGCGAAAACCTCCCTCTCTCTGTAGTGGAAGGAAAACGGGCCGATGCCTATTCGATCCCATATGTGGGCCCAGTGCTGTAGGGCTTAACCGGACTACCATTTTTATACATTTAAAACGATTATTATTTTGTTTATTATAATTTTTTAATCAATATTGTGAAAGTGCGTTTATATATTTAAAATTTTAAAAATAGAAAACAAAACATCAAATCATTAAGCGGATTTGTGGGTTGAATTAGGTCGGTTTTAGATGACCCAATTCAATTATTCTGAATTATAATTTTAAACAAAGTCTATATTATTATAAAATTTGAATTATAACACATAACGTCCTTAATTTTCAACCTTATTCATTAGATTAGTTCTATCCGCTCGTTTAAGCTTATCATAGACATAGGGTTTCATTTTAGGTTCAGATCATCTAGCTCATTTGAGCTTTATCTAAGAGTTTTGGATAATCTAGCTGCCCTCTTTTATCATTTCCTACCATCATTTTAAAATTATACATTATTACGTATAAGTTAGGGGTAAACTTGTAATCATTCCAACTGATTATACATATACGTACATATTCAATTGAGACAACTCACTATTAGAGATTAGTTAGAAACTCTCTAATAGCTCCCATATTATATAGTCATTATAATCAAGAGGGAGCGACACTTATGCTTACCAACTACTAAGATTGTGTATAGACCCTTGTCAATTGAGACAAGTTCACTATTGAACTGTTGGAGACCACCTAACCATCTCCACATAACAATATAATAACATTGTATTCACAACGTCTAGGGCTCAACCTAGTATTTACCAACTCATATGATATAAATGTGGATCATCTCAGATAAGAGAATTTTTAGTTTAAAGTTAACCGACCCTATAATAGTCCCCACATTATAAAAGGGAAGTGGGGCTCAACCCAGTATCTACCAACTCATCTGATATAAATGTAGACCATCTCATATAAGAGAATTTGTAGTTTAAAATTAATTGACCCTATAATAGTCCCCCCATTGTATAATCAAAGGGG